ACGGACCGTAATGTCACGCAATTTAGTGTTTCTTTCTCTCTTTCTCTTTCTGTGCGCGTGTGCGTCTCGGTACCCGAAACGGACGTCAGAGAATGAGACTATGAGAAAAAATGGTTGTAAGTTTTAAGACCGACCTACGCGTACATACAGAATACCTTTCATCCGCCTGCCAGTTTGGAGGTATCGAAGATGAAACGGGAAACTCCCATTCGGAAGGCAGTTAGATGATACAATTTTTTTGCCATTCAACTAATGCCATGTGTTCATTGTGTCTATGGGTTGAGAACAGTGGTGGCCACGAGGAGCAAGCGGACTACGGATTCCAGTGTGGGTTATTGCGTCACAAAGAAACCGTCTTATATCCGAGAGATAAGGGATGAACAGAAACATAGAAAAAGGACGGAATCGGAAGTAAAGTCAGGTAGGGAGCTAGTCCTGCCCTCTTATACGTGTAATTTAGGAAAGCTATTTGCAATTCGGACCCCCATGAAGTGACGAAAGAATTAAGGCAAGATGAATAAAGGAAAGTGGTACTTAACCAATTGTGAAATCAACCTATCAACAAACAATGAAGACCGATTGTCTAATTTGAAAGATGGAAAGCCCCACGTTGCTAACAACCAACTCGCATGGTTGGTGCAGTGGTTGACATTTATATACCGTAAAACGTGACCTGCATGAAATGTGAATGTGCTTTTGTTACATACCACTGTTAATGATGAACAATGATGAACAATGATGAACACTGTATATGATGAACAACAAAAGAAATTGACCCCATAGTCATGTGTATCACCCGCTCCACTTATGATAACCACGGAACTGGAAATGGCGAACCACGTAAGGCTCCAGTGGGATAGCGTGGTATTGGGCAGGACGATAACGAAGCTACCCATCCCCAAACTTGGGTGGAAGTGGCGCNAGTGGCGCGGTTCATACCTTCAAAATTATGACCCAACAAACAAGACAGCTATTGTGAGTTTAAGTGGTTACGAATAACCATCGCCATTCTGTTTACCACGGGAGAAATCAGGTTAAGAAACACGTGAGGGAACAGTGCTATCTATCCGACAAGTGCACCGGGGTTCATTTTCAGAAGCACATCCATCATCTTCCCCTCGTTTCGTCGCTTATGCGTATACACACACAACTGTATGCACACATAAACAAATACAAACATATTCTATTGTGATAAGTCGGACGAATTTGGCCCCCTATCTGATCAGCTATCAGCACAAACATCAGTACAAGAATATATATATATATATAACCCACGTGGCAGATGTATAAGTTTAAAAAGTGAATTCGTCCTGTATATAGCAAATAAAGCGTGAACTGAAAAGCTGGAAAAGCTGGAAAGCTGTTTCGACCTGTGCGACAGTGCAAATCCATCGACCCAACTGGGGATCGAACTCATGTCCGACAGGAAATCCTAAACTTGATGTGCTAAAAACTGGATCTTATAATCTTACGACTATTCCATTTCGCCTGTTCGCCGTGCTTGGCAATTTGTTTGCAATCGTTTCACCACCAGCCGAGGTGACATCATCACGATTATTGATACTACCCAATCAAAACAGGAAAGCGATCACCTGCCAAACAGTGATGTTGATGAGAAGATTCAGTGCGACTGGTCAGTCATTACATCCTGACGAACAACCCTTAACCAATGCAGTCAAGCATACACATTGGGGAGGCTCTTGTTAGAGCTTATCAAGAGTATAGTTAACAGCCTGTTTGGGATTTAAATCCGGATTGCTGGCATGAACGGCGTGTGTGCCAACCAGCTGATTCACCACCCGCAATGGTATCTTATAACAAGCACCAGGGTAAATGGAATTGAATTCGCAAAAAATAATAATAACAACTGGCACGTATACAATAATTTCGATGGAAGGGCTTGCGATTGCCTAACCGCATGGCGCAATGAGATTATGTTATGCACCGAAAGGAATGGGAGAACTAGGGGTCCACTGAACGACTCTGATCACAAACTCCCCCGGTACTCATGTGCATCGACAGTAGCATTTTCCTGGGTGAAAATAAGGTCAGGGTTTATGAAAAACGACACAAGAGAGCAGTCAAACGGTCGACCGATCGATTGTCTCAAAGAGAGAATAATAATCAGGAATTCAGTGGATAGCCCGAGCGAACGTCTCGGTCAAACAGCCATGTTCAAATATGGATGGATGGATGGATGGATGGATGAATGTAGAGAAAAAGGAAAAGAATGGAAAGAACCCGATGGCAACGCGTAAACACATGCAAAAACACGCACAATACATACAAATTCGACTAAGTATGCTAAGGTGGAGAGGGGTGGAGTAATAAACTGCAAACATTGCAGCAGAGACGGGGAGAGCGTAGCAGAAATCTAAGAGGAAACAGTACTGTGTGTGTGTGTGTGTGTGTGTGTGTGTGTGTGTGTGTGTGTGTGTGAACGAATACGCTACCGAACGGTGTGAAAGAGAAAAAGTAATAGGATAAACAGCAGACGGAATAACTTCGAGTGGTAGTGTGTCAACACTGCGAACCATGAGCATGTGCTTGTGCGCGCTAATACTTGATCCAATGGTTGTGGTGATGGGGTTCAACTCAGGAATACCAAAGACTGAAGGTAGTGACTTCAACCAACCAGACCAATATATGCCAATCTGATAAAAATGATATGCTTCGGGTGGATAAGTAAGGAAGTTAACACTCGGGACTATTGGTTAGAACTGACCATTCCGTAGTCAGATCAAAGGATTACCTGAGCTGTACAATTCAGCAACAACACAGACTTGTGTTATCGAATGTTTTCCAGTAAGGCAGAAGAGTTATTTTGTGCCACAAGATGACGGACACAGAGAGCGATAACGACCAATTAGAAAAACAAAGTCACTATAACGAGGTATTCAGGCGTAGCGGACAAAAAAGTAACAACCGAGACAGTGATTAAGACAACCGAGAACGAACAAGGCGATGGCTATGAAGATGATAATGACAATGATGATAGGATAGTCCGACAACAGATATATCTGTCGATCGGTGTATCTTTTTCAACGATAGAACCAACCCAGCAGGAACAACACAAGAACCAAGAGGGGTACTATTCACCAACGTCTGGCATAAACTATCGGAGATAACCCAACAAAATGAAGGGCACATCGTCCTACTGTACAGTCGAAAATTAGCTGTATATAATCCACCGAACGTCGGCTTCGAAATATGATTTGTTTCATCACTTCTCTTAGCATTGCAGAATAAATGTTCAAACAACAATGGACAGTTATGTCGAAATACGCGCCATCATACAGTGAAATACGGTTATACTCACA